TTTTTTTTTTTTTTTTTTTTTTTTACTAGCGAGTTGTTCCATTAAAATAGTTCAAGACCCAATTTTTTTTTTTTTGTTCAAAGCATCATTCAAGTACTTTGTCTCGCAACTTATTTTAATCTAAACCTTGTTCAACGGTTTCCCTTATCTCGCGTGGGTTTTTTTTTTTTTCTTTCCTTTGTTAAGTCCCGGATGTTGCTTAACTTTTTTTTTTTTAATGGTTTAATACAAGAAAAATAAAAATAAAAAAGATTCCGGATCTCTAAGAGTTAAGGGCGTCGCCTAGAACAGCGGTTCTCAACCTGTTGGGTCGCGACCCTTTTGGGGGTCGCACGACCCTTTCACAGGGGTCGCCTAAGATCATCTGAAAACACATGTACTCTACAGTTATAAAGTATCAACGAAAATAACTTTGTGGTTGGGGGTCGCCACAAAATGCGGAACTGTAAAAAAAAAGGGTCGCGGCATTAGAAAGGTTGAGAACCACTGGCCTAGAATGAAACCCAAGCCTTTTCTTTGATACCTCCACAAGAAATGGTAGGTGCGATCGGATTTTAGCAGGGGGGGGCTGTATCGTAAATACAAATTATGATAATTGTATATGATATGCATCGTCTTCTGCTCTGTGACCCTTTGCATGATATCTCATTACGACCAACATGATGGACGGCAGTGTGTGACGTAAGGTTGCGCATGGTCAACATGATAATCAGTGGTATTATTATTTTTTGTTATTATTCATCGTAATTATTATAATTATTACTGTCATTATTATTTGTTTTAATTAATTATAGTTATTATTATTTTAATTATTCGTTATAATTATTAATCACTATTTTTTATTATTCATTATAATTATTATAATTATTATTATAATCATTATTTTTATTATTCATTAAAATTATTGTTGCTTACATCGTTGATTAAAATTATTTTAATTATCATTATCATGATATTTGTTCCTCTTACTATTATTTTTATTATTAATATTACTATTTTTTTTTTTTACTTTTACGGATCAGAATGCTTCCTTTACCATAGGAATATGAAACGCGGTAATCATCTTATGAACGTAGGCTTTTGTTTCCATTCCAAATTCCCAGCAAATGTAAACAATATCGGTGCTGTTGATTCCATAGTGGGAGAAGCGCAACAAGACGAGCTTAACACGTACTGATGTCGAACCGTATCCGGACATTTGATCGAAAGAAATTTCGTCGACGGTAAAAATTGATCGACGGTAATTTGATCGAACGGAAATTTAGTCGAATCTTTTTTTTTTCTTCAGTTTTTTTACGTTAAAATTTTGCTTCAAACATATCCAGTTGACATAATGTCCAGTTGACATAATGTCCAGATGACATTACTGCCCAGAAGACATACTGTCCAGATGGCATGTATCCAGACGAAATATTGCACAGCTGAGAAAGTGCACATCTGACATAGTGCACAGCACACATCCCGGTCAAGTTTCCCCCTTTGTTTACGCCTACAAACAACACACTAACTACGAACACAATCACAAACACAAACATCACACTAACTACGAACACAATGACAAACACCAACACATTAATTCTAAAACGACTTTATTTTAATAATTTGTAGGAGTTTTTTTGCACATCAAATCATAAAATGAATATACTAGCACAAAGTAATCTACAGTCGCAAAGTATAACTAAGTACAATAATACATACTCGGGCTTAACCGGGTGCAATTACATTTTTTTTTTGTAATACTGCTTCCTGTTATATTAAGAAGATACCCGGTCGGTCCAAGTGTTTAAAAGAAAGAGTTAACTTTTTTTTTTTAAAATACATCCTACCAGGTGGCCTTTAAACAATAGTCCTAAAGACAGTCCTACAGACAGTCCTAAAACCTACCTGTCGGCCTTTAAACAAATGTCCTACAGACAGTCCTACGCTGTACCCACGAGCCTTTCAACCATAGGCCTACAGACAGTCTGCACTAAAGTCCTCTACTCTGCACTACCATCCACTACTCTGCACTGCCATCCACTACTCTGCACTACCATCCACTACTCTGCACTGCCATCGACCACTCTGCACTACCACCCACTACACTGCATTGCCATCCACTACTCTGCACTACCATCCACTACTCTGCACTGCCATCCACTACTCTGCACTACCATCGACCACTCTGCACTACCATCCACTACTTTGCACTGCCATCCACTACTTTGCACTGTCATCCACTACTCTGCACTACCATCCACTACTCTGCACTACCATCCACTACTTTGCACTGCCATCCACTACTCTGCACTACCGTCCACTACTCTACTCTACCATCCACTACTCTGCACTGCCATCGACCACTCTGCACTGCCACCCACTACTCTGCACTGCCATCCACTACTCTGCACTGCCATCCACTACTCTGCACTACCATCCACGACTCTGCACTGCCATCCACGACTCTGCACTACCATCCGTGACTCTGCACTACCATCCACCACCCTACCCTCCCCTTCGTCACTCTGCACTACCATCGATCATTCTACACAATGTGAGCTGCTCCCACACGGCACACAGATGTAACTGCAGTATTCTGATCAAAATAATTTGCCAGGCAGCGGCTTCAAACTGGTTTGTGTAAATAAATGGGTTTTTTAAAAATTATTTAGAAGGGAAAATGTGCATCCAAGGCTGGTTTCATTGAAAATATTTTACTGCATATTTGCAGCTTCTCACGTATCCGACGACAGCGGCCAACGCAGGGAATTCGATCTTCCCAAAGCTTTAACTTGTGGACCGCTGTGTAAGCGATACCGTGGTACCATATTTCAAGACTGACGAACAAAAAATAGTGTAGCTACTCTGTGTGTGTGGGGCCCGGGGGGGGGGGGGGGGGGGGGGGGGGTTGGGGGGGGGGGGGGGGGGGGGGGGGGGGAGGAGGTGGTTTCAGGGTTGTTGTAGGATCGTTGTAGTCCCTAGGGACTTAAGCATAAAAACAAAATGTATTTGTGACAGCTTTCTTCGATCTCTGTCCTGCCTTATCTCTGTCCTCTCATATCTTTGTCCTGTCAGATTTTCGTCCTCTCAGATCTCTGTCCTGTATTATCTCTGTCCTCTCATATCTCTGTCCTGTCAGATTTTCGTCCTCTCAGATCTCTGTCCTGTCTGATCTCTTTCCTCTCATATCTCTGTCCTGTCAAATTTTCGTCCTCTCAGATCTCTGTCCTGTTTGATCTCTCATATCTCTGTCCTGTCAGATTTTCGTCCACTCAGATCTAGGTCCTGTCTGATCTCTGTCCTCTCATATATCTGTCCTGTCAGATCTCTGTCCACTCAGACCTCTGTCCTCTCAGATCGCTGTCCTGTCTGTCTCTGCCCTGTCAGATCCTTGTCCCCCTTAGATCTCTTTCCTCTCAGATCGCTGTCCTGTCTGTCTCTGCCCTGGCAGATCTCTGCCCCCCCCCCCTTAGATCTCTTTCCTCTCAGATCGCTGTCCTGTCTGTCTCTGCCCTGGCAGATCTCTGCCCCCCCCCCTTTAGATCTCTTTCCTCTCAGATCTCTGTCATCTCAGATTCGAACGACCCTTGCGCAGCGGTCGCCTAATAAGACCATCGGAAAACACATATTTATGAAGTAGCAACGAACAAATGTTGGGGGTCGCCACAACATGAGGCACTGTATCAACGGCTCGCAGCATTAGGAAGGTTGAGAGCCCCTGTATTATATCTACATCTAATCACCGTGCTAATAATGATCTAAGAGGTGGGGGTTTTTTTTCGTTTAAAAAAAAACTTGTATCATCCCCCCCCCCCTCTCAATAACAATGACTTATTCACAATGCCAGATATTCCCCTGAGGTGAATTCTACATGTATTGGTAATGCCGAAACTGTCAACAATAATCATTTTTGTTTTCAAAACATTTCTCAGTGTCTCTTGGCCGAAGATTGCACGACTGGGAACAGACGTCGGAGAAGGTAAACAATGTTAGTGCCGTGGTGTTGAATGGATCGCATTGATTTGAAGGTCCTCTCGTTTTAACGGGACATCCTTGTAGTTCGATGACATGAGTCCAAGTAAAGCAGAAGCTTAATCAAAGGCAGTGCCATGGCTGGACAAACGAGCGGTCAGTATGATGGACGGACCGGTCATCTTTACGTTGAATGACATGTTATGTATGAATTGAATGACCGGTCATCTGTACGTTGAATGACATGTTATGTATGAATTGAATGACCGGTCATCTGTACGTTGAATGACATGTTATGTATGAACTGAATGACCGGTCACCTGTAATTTGAATGAAATGTCATCTGTACATTAGATGACGGGTCATCTGTAAGTTGAAAAAAAAATGTCATCTATAAATTAAATGACAGGTCATCTGCACGTTGAATGAAGTGTCATCTATGAATTAAATGACAAATACGTGAAGGGTCACCAATACATGGAATGCAATGTCGTCTGCGGCCTCGACTGAAATCCACGGATTGAGTGCACGCTATCTCCACGTTCAACGTGCCAGGTCATCTATGCGTGGAACGCGAGGTCATCTGTACGCCGAAAGCAAGGTCATCTATACGTTGAACGTGAGGTCACGAGGCGGGTAGCACGTGCCATTGAACCACCAGTTGGTCACATTGTCGTAAACACACGCCAGGGGGCGCGGTGTGTGCAGCTCCCTGCATATAGCGCACAGCGGCAACTTGTACCCGAGCACGTCGTAGTCCCAGGACCACTGAAGTTTTTTCACATATTCTTCCTGAAAGTAGGTTGGGAAATGGTTAAAACGGTGCCCGTTCATTGTGGACTATTTACTACTTAGACTCCTAAAGATACCATTTACATAGAAATAACTGGGTTGTTTGTGTTGGCTAATTCACTGCCTTAGAGCAAATCCTGATCTCAGACCAAGCACATTATTTGCAAAATCATCTTACATTAAATATTAGGTTCAATAAAATTTCACTAAATAACAAATAAAAAACTTCCAATCACGATTCACTTCATTTCATATGTCCTTTCATTAACTCTCCGAAGAACCAAGAACCACTCATTGCCGTATGTTGCTGCATGAACAAGACTACGGACATTTTGTTTGAGGCTAACATGCTCCATATACTGTGTCCTAAACTTAACTTCATTGAATTGAATCGTTTTAAGTTAAAGTTATTGGCTAAAAAAATTAATGCGCAAATGATCAGATTCATCAGCTAACCTACCTCGTTGTTGGCCAGCTCTGTCAGATACTTGGCCAAATCTTTCGGTGACGAGAAATCTTTTGTGTCGATGACGGAATTGGGCGGGAAAAGTTTCTTGTAATCCGCCCCTCCCCTCACCACGGGTATCAACGTGTTCTTTTCCAAAATGTTCAGAAGCTTCTCCGTGACGTAATCGACGCAGAAGGAGTTCTCAAACGACAGATAAAACTTGTACTCCGTGTCCAGCATGCGCGCGCATTTCCCCCGGTCCTCGCACTTGAGCTTCCCGCATTTCCCGTAGACGTCCACCTGGATGTATTTGGACAGCTCGGCGGCGTACTCTTCCCTGCGGCTCTGGATGTTGCAGTGGCTCACGAACCACGCCACCATCTTGGTCTTGTTGGCGAACTTCTCCTTCCACATCTGAACGTCTTTCAGCTTCTTCTCCTCCGTCGTCGTGTTCCGCTTCCGTTCACTCCTGACGTACCCGTGCCAGAAGTCGCCGTCCAGCCTGTAGGAAACCGTCCAGTCGAATCGGCCTTTCCAGTGCTCTGCGCCGAACGCCTCGTTGTCGGACAGCGGCGGGGGCTCGACGGCGAAAAATCCCCACTTCTGATCTGGTCGCTTCTCGGGCACGACGGCCAGGTCCTTGGCATGCTTATAGTGTGAGTAGAAGATCACGGCGTCGGCCTCTCGGAACCTCTTCTCGTCGGTGGTCACGTCACAGCTGTGCTCACATTCGTCTAAAAACTGACGATGTTTAGCTGACGTGATTTGATAGTAGTCCGGAAATTGCTTGAACAGCAAGAGTTTCTTCTTGGCCCCGGCTGTTGTTCGAATGGCCTCCAGTGCAGGGTCCGTCTTGTGGCATTTCAAATCTGGATTATTTTTTTTTTTAACGAAAATAAAATATTTAACATCAAAATAACTTAAACGCACGAATAATGTACTGCATTGGTCTCGAATGTAAGTGATGCTTCGTCAGTACAAGATGTGATAAGATGTGAATTTCATTTATTTTACATAATTTATTTGCTACCGGCAACCAGCTGCCATAAGTTTTGTCGTGCTTAGGATCTCCACTAAAATTGGTTTATGATTAAGTACCGTTGGAACATAACAATACACAGAGATCAGGGTTGCCAACCTCCGTAAATTTACGGAAGGTAAGTAAAAAAATTTACTTAATTTGGAAAAGTACATTTTGGACTGAAATTCAAAGAGATTTGTGTCAAGGGATTTGAGAATCACTGTTGTGGGGGTTCTCTTATTTCAGTGTAATAAGGGGAGAGACTGCAATCGGGTTAGCACAGTATGAAATGAGTAAAACCAAGTAGGGTTTAACCTGAAAAAAAAAGGAAGGCAACAAAACAACGAACATGTCGGCAGGAAGCCTTCGTCGGCGAACAAAAACAACAGGCAAAAACAGAATAAATTTAACATTTAAAAAATAGCACTTAGCTTAGAAGTAGTATTCAAAAGGGCAGCAAATGAATTGTGAATTGTGTCGAGCGGGAAGCCGACACGTTCGTTGCTTTGTTGCGTTCCTTTTTTTTTTAGGTTTAACCCAACTTTGCTTTACTCATTTCTCCTCTTTCACTTGCATGAACATAATCGAAATAATTCGACACTGATGAGAATTTTATACAATAAAATAACATTACAAAATAGGCTCTAGCCCTTATTTTCATATGACTTAGAGAGCAGGTCTGCACAACTCAAAGTGTAAGGCGGGCCGTAATACTTTATGAAAAAAACTGGTGCGGTCCGAAAGAGGATAGGTAATGGTGGAAGCTATTCAGAAAATAATAATAATAATAAAGAATATTTCGTTACTTCGCGGGCCGCAAAGTGTGTGCCGGCGGGCCATACGTTGTGCAGGCGGGCCATACGTTGTGCAGGCGGGCCATACGTTGTGCAGGCGGGCCTTACGTTGTGCTGGCGGGCCTTACGTTGTGCAGGCGGGCCATACGTTGTGCTGGCGGGCCTTACGTTGTGCGGGCCTGGCTTAGAGTCCTACAGACATAGTCATTTCTAAAAGTGGGCTGGTCACGGATATTAGACTTTGTTTTAGCTTCGTTAGTTTCCCTTGAACATGTAAACAAAGTTGTCCGTGCGTAAAAAGAGTGTTTGTCCATACAAACTGGGCAGATTTAGGTGTCCATACAAACTGGGGAGATTTAGGTGTCCATACAAACTGGGGAGATTTACAATGTTCGTCCTTATATTTTATTAATTTTTTTATTATTTTTTTTTAGTTGGCAACCCTGTGGGAGAGATAATTCAAATACTGCTTACCATACTTGCCGTGAGAAGTCAGCGGACCAGAAAAGATCAAGTCGCAGGAACACCAGATCAGAAAGCACGCGAGAAATGTTGCAGGCAACATGACCTTGAAAAGGTGACCTCGTCTCATTGTAATCTGTGGTCAAACGTGTCATTGATGCATGTGAATTTGATCATGGCTCGTTCGTGACATTGACATATTAATGTGAATTTGATACTAGCTAAATCGCGAAATTGATTTTGTATGTCAATTTGATCATGACTCATTCGTGACATTGATATATGTAAATTTAATACTAGCTAAATCGCGAATTTGATTTAGTATTTGAATTTGATCATGGCTCATTCGTGACCTTCATATATGTAAATTTGATAATTGCTTATTCGCGAGATTGATTTATGTAAACTTTATATATGACATTACGGTAATACGTTAAAAGTTTCCTTATGAATGAACCTATAAAAGTAAACTAAATACTTTCATTGGGAAATGGCGTCAGCGGGCCGTCGAGCGTTAGTTCTCAATGCCCTCCCCGACGCACCTCCACACAGCCCAGACGCCGGGTCTTCCTGACCCCGGACCATGCGGCGGAACGCCAGAGACTTCCCCGGACCTGGACCGCCTCCCTACCCACAACAGCTCGATCAGATTTGCGGATGGAGGCTTTCCCCGCCCGGGGTCGTCCGGTTGACCGAAAACGCTGCGTTTAAAGCGTTCGCAGCCGACTCTCCCGGGGAGTAGGAATGGTAAATTTACGTCCTAATATCTCCCCCCACCCATCCCACGTAAGCGTCGGATGCCCTATAAGTGGGTTTCCTACAGTGGGTTTCCACCACGCAACTAAATTGCGGAGTAGCTGGGACGAAACGGTTGCCTAGGAGCAGCTTTCTCGGGGCTTCGTAGTTAAAACCATCGACTAGAAGCTTTACACCTTCGCGACTAGCCTCATATCCATTAGCGGCAACTTGTAATCATGATCCCTACCCTGTCTCTGCCTTTACTTCCAACTGTTAAGCCGCACAGTTGGCAGCCCTGTCGTGGCTGTTTTATTTCCGGCAGGTACCATGCATGCCCCTTGTCTGCCCAGTCGGGACACCCAATAGTAGTAAACTGAACGGGTCGGTTTAGTAGGTGAATATGGTTAAGATTTCGTATGAAAACGATAAAAAAAAATAATTTAGTCTGATAATTGTAAGATTTTGGTAGTTTTCAACAAGCTCACTTGGTGAGCCTACGAATTTGATTTCAGCAATAATATAAGTGGAAGTAAATTTCTACATTGTTCATGTTAGTTAAAGAGAGAAAACTTATTTTTTTTAATTTTATCTAGCTGGTACGTATGCAGTTTTTCATGACATGAGGGTAAAATATTTACCAATGAATTCTCGATTTAAAAAAAAAAAATAATAATTCTCTGAATACATTGAAGATCACTGTCTTTTTTTACTTAGGAACACACCATGGGGAAACGCCAGGGATTCTTGAGTCGCAAATATTAATTAACCGTTCGCCTGTGTGTGTTTCCGTGCGTGTGACGTATTTGGTCTCTTCGACTACGCCAGTGGTTCTTATGGTTTGATCCTCGGCGCCGTTGCCGAACATAGGTTTTAACCTTGCCCTCTGTGTCAAATTGTCACAAGTACCATGCCCAAATATAGGTTTTACCCTGGCCCTCTGTGTCAAATTGTCACAAGTGCCATGGCCGAATATAGGTTTACCCTGGTCCTCTGTTTCAAATTGTCACAAGTGCCATGGCCGAATATATGTTTTAACCTTGCCCTCTGTGTCAAATTGTCACAAAGTGCCATGTCCGAACATAGGTTTTACCCTGGCCCTCTGTGTCAAATTGTCACAAGTACTATGCCCGAATATAGGTTTTACCCTGGCACTCTGTGTCAAATTGTCACAAGTACACCATGCCCGAAAATAGGTTTTACCCTGGCAATCTGATTCAAATTGTCTCAAAGTGCCATGGCCGAATATAGGTTTTACCCTGGTCCTCTGTTTCAAATTGTCACAAGTGCCATGGCCGAATATATGTTTTAACCTTGCCCTCTGTGTCAAATTGTCACAAGTACCATGCCCGAAAATAGGTTTTACCCGGGCCCTCTGTGTCAAATTGTCACAAGTGCCATGGCCGAATATAGGTTTTACCCGGGCCCTCTGTGTCAAATTGTCACAAGTGCCACGCCAAATAGTTATATATTATTTAAATAATGGTTGGGCACATTAGCCACGTGTGCAGGTCACAAAGCGCCATCTAGTAACTGTTTCTAAGAGCTGCTGAAAACAGTCAAATGTTTAATAAGTGAGGTGTGCACCTCGTATCTATAGAAAATTTGGCGGGTTTGTTTTTGTACTTGACGACGGAATATAAAGTCCTTGTTTCGTTTAAAAATGTATCTTAAATGTGTCAGTTTTTTTGAGACTGTCCCGCCTTGGCTGATCCGACTGATTATCTTGTCATGACATTCCTCTCTTGCCCTTTGCGCACTGCATGGTGCTGTTTCACTAGATTACAAGGGCGGATCGTGCCGTCAATCGCCCCGGGGGTGAGGGGGGGGGGGTCACTATTTTAATTGTACAGATTTTTTGATTATCTTTTTAAAAAAATTTGTTCGAGAGTTTGATAGTTTTATTTCGTAAGACGTTAATTATTAATGTTAATTTTAATGTTAATTTATCTTGAATGTTCTAGATGATAATTAGTTAATATTCTTTAAGTATAGAGGTTGAGATATGAAGAGCATTTTTTTTTTAATGAACCAAAAACACTCTTCAACAGTTCGCACTCTCATACAATCCCCGTTTACCTACATAGACGACCCCGTTAAAGCCTCATCCGATTTCACCCTAAGCCAGCAATTCTAAACCTGTGAGTCGCGACCCCCTTTGGGAGTCGAACGACCCTTTCACAGGGGTTCGCCGAGGACCCTCGGAAAGCACATGTAATCTTCAGTTATGAAGTAGCAATGAAAATAATTTTATACTTGGGGGGGGGGGGTTCAACACAACATGAGGACCTGTATTAAAGGGTCGTGGCATTAGGAAGGTTGAGCACCACTGCCCTAAACAGTGATGCCAGCCCCCACCCTTCCCATGATACCCTTTCTTTGCGTCGTCCCTAAGCCTCTTACCCCGATGAATGATATAGCGCACCGCCTTCCGTTTCACCGCTCTACGCGACATTCTTAACACTTGACACCTTCCACGAAGCCTGCTCCACTAATCCTACATTATAGCCACCTGACCTTCCTGAACACCTAGGAAATCGTCCGACCCCCCGGCCATGATGCACCAGGTCTACGTGTGTTTGAAATAAGAAAACTGGAGGAACACCCATGGGGAATCCAAAGAAACCAAACGCTCATAGGTACACTAATGTCAAAAGTGCCAAAATGTCAAAAGTACACAAAGGTCAAAAGTACACAAAGGTCAAAAGTACACACAGGTCAAAAGTACGCAAAATGTCAAAATTACACACAGCTCAAAGGTACACAAGGGTCAAAAGTGCACATGGTCAAAATACGTAAAGGTCAAAATTACAAAAAGGTCAAAAGTACACAAAGGTCTAATCAACTTGACAAGGCATTTGCTGCCCATTGAGATCAGGATATTTATCTCTGATTTTTTTTTATTTATTTATTTATTTTTTGGGGTGTGGGGAATATGTTAAAAACATGTATCATTTTTTTTTTAAAGAAAGAGTTTGAACATATAAAGGCAAAGATAAGGTTTAACACATGCTTTACGAAGCGCTCTCATTTGACCAACACTTATCAAAAGGGTCCCCCCCCCCTTTTTTTTCCGGACACAGTGGACCTAAAACACCTTTTAACGATGTCATGTTTGAATTCCCTTGGCATTTTTGGGAAGAGTTCAGAGATTCTCCTCCTAATACTGTCGAAAGGTGGACAAAAAACAGCACGCACCGCGCAGAAAGGAAAGTCCTTCACAAAAAACCTTGCCTTAGAAAGATCCTGAACATAAAATGACCAAATATCATCCACCAACAAAGACTTACCTTGCTGGAGGCCTTTGGAGTATGGGAGTTCATTAATAATTGTTGCGACTGGATAGTATGTTTGATTACGCGCAGTGTATGTTTTTGAGAGATTAATTGGTAAGTGAACGCTCTCTCCGCGCTGGACTCGGTCACGTATTTTATGCTCATTGGGACGTATTTTCTAGTCTGTTTTGTGACGTACGTGTTGATTGGTGGGTAAGTCGTGAAAGGAACCTTGTGGAAGGAGGTTGACTTTTATTTCTCTCTGATAGCGAGCTGACATGTTTATATGGAATAAACAGTCTGTGAATCTCAGTTGATATTAAAGTTGGATTTATTTTGAAAAGGGGGCTTGAGTGGATTCATTGCTAGCACGACGTATAACAACGCGTGAACAGAACTTGATGAACAAACCAATCTAGTACACACAGGAGTTGGACAGGGACACGTACCAAGAGAACATTGCTTGAGAAATCCCAGGAAACTGCTGGAGCTTGGGGTAACGCACGCTCCTTACAACCACCCAGAAAGCGCCACACCCGGACACTCCCGATCTATTTCATTGAACCCACAGGGGACAAGGGCCACACCCGGACACTCCCGATCTATTTCATTGAACCCACAGGGGACAAGCGCCACACCCGGACACTCCCGATCTATTTCATTGAACCCACAGGGGACAAGCGCCACACCCGGACACTCCCGATCTATTTCATTGAACCCACAGGGGACAAGGGCCACACCCGGACACTCCCGATCTATTTCATTGAACCCACAGGGGACAAGGGCCACACCCGGACACTCCCGATCTATTTCATTGAACCCACAGGGGACAAGGGCCACACCCGGACACTCCCGATCTATTTCATTGAACCCACAGGGGACAAGGGCCACACCCGGACACTCCCGATCTATTTCATTGAACCCACAGGGGACAAGGGCCACACCCGGACACTCCCGATCTATTTCATTGAACCCACAGGGGACAAGGGCCACACCCGGACACTCCCGATCTATTTCATTGAACCCACAGGGGACAAGGGCCACACCCGGACACTCCC